AAAATAGATATGTAGCATTAAGTTATTCGATAATATGCAGTGAAAAGAACAACTATAAGCAAGTATGGTTGTCATAACTGCAAAGGAGAACTTGAGGCAGACTACTTTGACACCTCTGTTGTTTACTTTCAGATGTATTCTACTGCCCTCTTCCGGTTCTTTGTTGGAACGAATTTCTTCCAAAACTCTCCAAGTATTTTTCCTGTTAACTTGTAGCTACTGGCACTCTGACTTTCATAGTTGAGATGCCTGTGTTTGTCTAACTTATATTATACACATGTATATTTAAATATGTAACTGAATAATATTTCTAACACACATGCCAGGAAATCATTACTCTCTGCCTTTTAATGAGCTCTAGAAATGCATTAATTCAATCATCTAAATTCCTTAGTATTTAATGAAGAAAAATATTATTTTAAAACTTATAAATATTTTCTTAAACATACTCTTACAAACCCAGAACTACTGCTGCCGTATGGTAGATGAACGGAGAGCTTAGAGGGATTCCTTCTAATAAATTTAAGTTTCCCTCCGTATTATTCTTTAGCTAGATGAAGATAATTTAATAATCAAATTGCTTAAAAATAAATTACTTAAAAATGTCATGAACGCAGTGTGTGGAAGACAGGATTACTTCCATTTACTATCAGGCCTATTTTGTAAACTGTTTCTTTCTTTTGTTTATGATAATTTTTGTTCAGTGGGTAATGTATACATCACAAATTTGCCCCTTATGAACATAAGAGGCATTTTATATTGATTCAGTGATGTTATTTTCCAAAACTAAATCCAGAATGCCTCTTGTTGATGAAAAAATAGCTGAATAAAAGGTGTTATTCTTTAGTGGTGTTTGTAATGGTGTAACTGAAAAGGACAGAACTAGGTGAAATTACAACCAGAAACCCAGGAAACTGGGCTGCCATCACACTAAAGAAAAACTTGCAGCATCAAGAAATCCAGGATTATGTCATTCACACTTGATTATGGTTGATTGCTAAGAACTGAGTATTTTCATATATTTTTATTTTGCTGCCAAACAGCAAAGACCCTCCCTTTAACTCCTGTCAATATCTTTCACTTCTAAAACGTCAAACAAGTAAACCAAGACATAATTAAGGAGTTTAGTTTTAACAAAATTCCACTAAGGAAATCATTGACTCAACCATTTACTGTTGCTTTCTTGCTAAGAAAGTAAGAAACATTTGAAGAGGGAGGCCAGGACCTCTCTGTTTTGGACCACAAAAGAAATATCTAAAGACAAAATGCTATATCCCATCAGAGGAAAATGCAACTTTACATGGGTCATTTAAAGGCTTTGTCTTCTATGAACATTTGCCATGGGCTTAATCACATGTGAGTCCATGCTGGGCCCCCCCCAGTGAAATCACCCCAGGGAGCCTGTATCACAAAATATGCTGCATCCACTCTATAACTACCGGCGCTTCAGATAAGAAGTCAGATCCATTGACTTCAGAGGATCCCCACCTAGCCAGAACCACCAACTCCCAGGGGGAAAATGAAGCTGCTCTTTTCCTTCAACCTGTGCCTTGCCAATGTCAGCCTCCAGAAGACTTAGTCATTCAGTCTCACCCACCTCATGAGTGTCTCTTGACTGGATCACCTCCATCATTAGGTTCTGTGGTGCTTTCCAGCACATTCCCCACCCTCCTGGTCTTTGTTATTTCACTTCAACTTTCTGCTTACAGTGACCCCTTTCCCCCATGGCCCCTATAATTTTCCATCTTCCTACTTTTGAGGGATCAGGTCTGTATCCTCAGGGTTTAGCATAGGCAGAACTTAGCACATAGTTAATGAAAGGTTATGAGACCCTTCTTCAGTTAATAGAAAGTGGGCTGCTAGCCCAAGAGCTTCAAAGACTGAAAGTAGAAAACAGGTTTATACTATCATTTGTCTGTTCTAACATAGCCATGATGGGCATTACCCCCATAATAGTCTCTTAATTACATTAATATCCTATATTTTTACAGTGACTTTTACCTCTTCAAAGCATTTTTACATCTTTTGTTCTACTGGATTTGAATGTCACATATCTATGAAAAAAATCAAGAGATTATTATTAGCCCTGAGCAAATTGAGGCTGATAAGATTAAATATCTTTGTCTGTAAAATGACAGCATAGTGAACTGGATCATAAATAGCCTTTTAAAATTCTAGCTGTATCTATGTGTATCTCTGCATGCATGCTATATGTTATACATGCACACATTTCTCAGACTTGAAAGGGCTAAGATTCTTACGCTTATTTTCTAGTTATTAATGAGAGAAAGCCTTCTTACACTTAATTTACTTTGGTAAATGTTTTTTTGCCAAGACCTGGCACTATGTTACATGGCTCCCTGAGTGGGAAGGAGGAAGATGAAAGGGTATAATTAATTATGAGTTCAACTTAAGATTCCCATGCTTAAAGAGCTGTCCAACCACAGAGAGTTACTCCCAGCCCAAGGCTGGCATGGGCTCCTAACCCTGATTGGCACACTTTCTGCTCTAATGGAGTTCTGCTGCTTCTCCTTAGCAGCTGAGGTAGACATTTTTGGTGCTCTATATTAGGAATCAATGTGGCCTATTTTGGAACACCTATTTAGAACAATAGTTATGCTCTCTCGGACACAATTAACCTACAGTAATTTGTTCCCAGAGAGCCTTATTAGAGAGTACGACTTGAAAGCTCATGCCATCACCATACAAACTGGTTTGGTCTCAGGCCTCTATGCTTGCCATGGCCATGGGAAAATATAGGAGGAGCACAGGGCCAAATGCAGAAAACAGATGATTGCTGATTGCAGTGAAAACTGCAAGGCAGGGTCAGCCACAGGATAAACTATTAGTTAGCTAAAAGTTCTCTCTGGCAACCCCCAACTTCTTTTATTAGTCTTCTTCTCTGTGTCATGGTATCCTTCCCCATGCTCTCCTACTCCACAAGCCCTGAGTCCCTGCCTGCTTTGCGAGTACCCAGGCTCTGACCCACATAACTGCTCCAAGGTGTAATAAATGCCAGCTCTCATTAAGACTGGCAGGTTGAAATACCACACCAAGGTATTGGAGATTCAGGTGTACTAAGGAGCCAAGATCTGAGATTGGTTCAACTTGACTTTTGTCTCCCTCTTTTCCTTCTTTTCTCCTCCTTCCCCTCCCTCATACCTTCCTCCTCTTCCATTTGTTTGTATAGGTAAAATGTATTTTATTTCATTTTTTGGTCTTTTTGAGACAGGGTCTCCCTGTAGCCCCAGCTGTCCTGGAACTCGCTGTGTAGACCAGGCATGCCTTGAACTCACAGAGGTCTGCCTGCCTCTGCCTCTGCCTCTGGGATTAAAGGCGTGCACCACCATGTTCAGCTGTAAAATGTATTTTAAATGCAAGGCAGAAAGTATGTATAGTGATGGATAAATCAGAGTACTTTAGGTCACATAACAAGAACAGCAGCCAACAAATGTCAGTGGCCAAAGCTGACAAAGGTTTATTTCTCATTCCATATCACGTTATTAGAGCTTCCTGGTCCCTACAGAGACATACAACCCAGGCTCAAATCACCGGTTTCTGTACTTACCTAGACCAAAAAGAGGAAAGCTCTGTAGTGATTCACATGGGGCCATAAATGCTTTGAGCTAAATGTGACACAGCATGAGGGGCCCTGGAAAAGCCGTCATCACACTCATTCATCTTTTGTTCCTAATAACTAATGTAGTACTGGGCACAACAAAGACAGTAAATGGTTACTTAATTAAAATGATTTCTGAGCACTTAGGTATCTTCGGAAAGTCATTTTGGACTGTCTTAGACTGAAGGACATAACAAAAGCCCACAAGAAAAGCTTGAAGACTTCCAGATTCAATCTATGCCTGAAATACTGAAACTAGGAGGACTTGGAAGCCCTTTGTATCTATCTTTGAAGAACACAAAGACAGGTTAACTCATTTCATAAACTAGTTGGCTTCCTGGATACCATGTCCCTAGTTACTCAAGAAAATAGATCCCATAGCGTTATTCGTCTTCTGCTGCTTAGTATATGGGATTATGATGTGGATATTTGTTGAATAACTGATGTATGGACAACCCATAGTTTACAGTGAGTTCCTGGAATCTTTATTATTGAATTGAAGGCTCTAGTGTTTGTAACAAAACAGTCCTTTGTTTGTATGGTAGTAGACTGTGCTTTACTAAACTTATATTTTAATAAATGTAGCTTTGATATATACATACAGGAGGGGAGAGAGAGAGAGAGAGAGAGAGAGAGAGAGAGAGAGAGAGA